TTTACCTCTGCTGGTACGTCAGCTGGGGCACCTGCCTCGAGTTCCAATATCTGTGCGTTTATTGTTTCCGTGATAACGACAGCGCTGCGATGGTCCGACCGTTCTCCCCATGTGCGCCGATGGTAAAGGTCCAGGTCTGGGCAGAAGCTCTGAGAGGAGGGGGGAAAAGGGTAGAGAACTCGTGAGCTTAGGCCAAAGCTCCGGCTACAGATGCTGCCGTATTACCCCTCCCTGTGTCCTCGCTGAAATCGCCCTGAACTGGACGTGCTGTGGAAGGCGGTCGGCGTCCTGCGTGTGGTAGAGGAGCCGCTTGCCCGAGCAGTGCCCGCGCCGCGCGCCCGGGATTAGGTGCTGTGTAAATACAAGTTCAGCCGTTCAGCCTGGCTTCTGCAGTGCTGTATCATCCTTGTGCCTTTGTCATAGTCGGATGCCGTGGGCGAACAGGCAGACAAGGCTTCTGCAAGGCCAGCGCTACAGGCTCATCTAACTTTGCCGTAATCCGGAACTTTGACGTCTTCACAAGTGCTCAGTTTTATTTATCGGCTCCCTTTGCAGAGTCCCCGTCGTGAAGCTGTCTGTGCTCTGCTGGGGACGACTTGCCTGAAAGCAGACGCGGTTTTGGTGAGTGGCATACTGAGCTCCTCTGGCGGGTACCGAGGAAAAAAGCCTCTCTGGCTGGAGGAGGGTTATGGGGAGTCATATTCCAACCTGAAGGTCTGGAAAGCGAGGAGCCTGGCTCTTCACAGCAGCGGTTACTCGCTGTGTTCAGTTGGGCAAAGCTGCACTAAGCTCTTTGGAAAAGTACGACTGATTTTTAATCCGGTGACTGCTGTAACAGAAAGGGTTATAGAAAGCGATTCCTTGCAGCGTTGAACCTCAAGGAGATTTTTTCCAAGGTCTTATGGATGGAAACCGTTTAGGCGGTGGCAGGAACTTCTCTGCCTGTGATAGCTGGAGATGTTGCGTAACAGCGAAACTCTCGCTCTTACGCCTGTCTTCGTCATGTGAAGATGCATTCCAGAGAGGCAGGCAAAAGTCGTATTTTTGGATAGCTCGCATTTATCCTTTTGCAGTTATTTCTTACTGATGATTTTAATACCTTAAAAAGCCTTATTTATCCAAATAAAACTGAAGTTTTGCTATTAATGCTTTTTTTCTGTATTTTACATTGTATAATAGCAAATCACAGGCATCCTTTTACCGTTGCTTTCTTTCCTTCAGTGGCTAGAAATGAACCCACGCTGGCAGGAAACGCTTGGCCGGGCTGGCAAAGAGACTGCTTCGCCCTCTCACACAAGGTGAGTTCAGCTGTGGGGTGCGACTGCCTGGCTGTTTTCTCTCCTCCAGGTGAAACAACACCTGGACTTGTCCTCGGGAACTTCCAGCTCCAGGGATGTAGAAGGGAATCCATTATTTTCAGGACTGTTATTAAAATAATACACAGTTTTTATAGTATTGAAGTTAAATGAGGTGTTTAAAAGCATATTGACTATACGTCCACTGACACTGAGCACAGCGAGGAACCTGCATTTTTCAGATGAATTAAACCAACATTTTGCTCACTGTAAAATCGGTCTGTAAAAAGAGGACGTGTTAAGCTCTGCGACGGCGCTGCTCCGCCTCCTGGCGGGCAGGGTAAGAGAGCGGCCGGCAGCTCCCTGGCCTCTGCCTCCAGCCTGCCACGTGGTCGCTGAGGTTTTGCCCTGCGTCTCGAGCCGTCGGTGCAGCCGTTCCCGAGGCACAACTGGCACCAGATCAGGGCTCGGATGCTGATAGACACAGACTCCTGCCCGACAGTCTTGCATTGTGCAGTTACTGACTGAAGCATCGTGCTGGGAGTAAAAGGAGCTTCCCCCCTCCCCTCCGAGGGTGTGAGCACTGTGGGGAGAGCTGGAGAGGTCAAAATCCCTGTCTGAACGTGATATGGTGGAGAGGATCTCAACAGTTCTTCGCCACATGTGTGCAAGCAGTGGTTGTCAGAAAAACAAGAAAGCAGCCAGAAGGTTGAGGGCAGCTTCACTTGTGATCATTTACGTGCCAGCAATTATTAACTCGAGTAGAGCAGGGAAACTATAAAGCTTACTGCAGCGGCTTGGAAAGTACCGCGCTCTATAAATAATCAAGTGAGCAACAGTCAAGAGTTTAAACTAGGGTCGATAACTTTGCTTTTAAGCTGAGCTAGTAATCAGTTTTAAATGATTTAGTTGTTCTGCATGCCTTGCTGTCACAAGTTTTACAGCCCACCCCTTCCTCTGTGTAGGACAGTCACACAAACATTGAATTTAGCCCAAATGAAAAGGCAGAGGTAAGAAAGTGGGAGCGGAGGGAGGTCCTGCAGAGAGAGATACTGACCTAGGGAATTTCTCCCTACCTGCTCCATGAGATGTTTGCCCTCCCGCTACTCACATTCCCTCCTTCCTTCTGCTGGACACCGGCTCATCTGCTGGTAACCCTTAGCAGAAGAGGAAGGGAAATCTCCAGCTGTAGGATGAAACATCTTAAAACAGTAATAAAACACTAACTAAATCTGGCTACCATTTAACAGACCTTCTTTAAAAAAGTAAGGAGAAAAAAAAAAAAAAGGATAACATATAAAGGAGTATGGCTCCAAACTTAGATTAAAAAAAACCTGAAATCTGAATAGTCATTAAACGAAGTGTCAGGGAGGAAACTCTGATAAAATAGGTTGTTATATGCCTTAGAGCATTGGTATGGTTGGGGAATCTAAGGTTTAAATGTACAATATGTACGGTTCTGGCTAAGCCCAAGGAGGATGCGATACCTAGTCTAAAACTTCTAGTTGTGACCAGTAGTGCAGCGAGAAGGGGTGAGACAGCACACCCGTGTACCTCCCAGCAAAGCTCGTGCGTTACCTCGACTGGATAAAGGCTGCCGCTTTCCGCTATCAGCAGAGCTGGGTTACAGATGCTGTGAGTGATGCTTTGCCGTATTAGCTACTTCGAGCTACTTACTTGTCCAGAAGAGCAAGTGGAAGTTATTTGTGTTAATGATTTATTAATGGTAAATGTTGAAATTAGACGTGCAGAAGATACTACGATTAGAAAGTTTTGAATTATTCAGATGTCTTGAATTGCTTTCGGGCAGCTCCTTGGCCTCAGGTCTGTATGCGTGTTCTGGAAGCGTTTTAAATTTCATCTGTGGATGCAGTTGATAGACACGGGTACAAAGCTGACGGTTTGTTTTTTTTCCAGCCTCCATAGGGATAAATGGGGTTTCTTGTGCAGTGAGGGGAATCCTTCTTTTTACTCGTTTAATAACAAGTTACGATAAAATCTCACCGATGGCTTAGCTCTGCTCTGCACTGGGTAAAACTACAAATGCCAGCAGCAGGGTTTATGTTACAGGCTTGTTAACTGCGCTGCCTGCTCTGAAATCCGCTGGCACGTGCTGCGGCCTGTCATTACGCACAAAAGAAACTCACTGCATTTTATTGAGGTGGTTTACAAACGTTTCTCTAAACCAGCGAAATGTTCCGATACAAAGCCAAAGGTATGAAGCCTGCACGTACTTCGTGGTTTCCGAAGCCCTCTCGGTCTGACTCCCTGCCAGGAGCACCAACCACCGCTTCCGAGTGCTGGCACTTCAGCCCCACAAACCGCTTTCCAAACAGGTAGCGATGTTTTTATGGATGGCAGAAAGAGCTTGTCCCCAGGAGAGCCTGGTTCTCATGAGCCAGCTGCTGGGCTGGGGACATCCCATCCTGCCTGTGAAGCACCATTTGCCTGCAGACGGGATCGATTGCCGATATTTGCCTGCGGTCGGGTTACTGGATTGGAGCCCCTATTTCCCCCAGTATAAAGCAAATAAATAAGGCTTCACATCTTTGCCGTAATTATGTTTTCAAAGGCTATTTACAGAAAAATCTTTAACTTTGGCTGACCTTAGTACGATGTCATCGGGTGAAGCTGCAGGGAACAGTTGGTTTCTGTGCAGCACAGTCTTTATTTTGGCTGGCAGTCTGTTAACTCTGGTGAGCGGGTAAGCTCATGCCAGGCGAAGTTGGGCATATCAGGAGATTCTGCTTTGCCTGTATGGAGAAAGTGGCCTGAGAAACAGCTTTGTAGGCTAGTAAACAAAAAAACATATACCAGAATTTGTGGCTGACACATTCCGGTTCTTGAGGAGTTTGACAGAAGGACCCTGACAGGCGTTTTGTTCCTCGCTCTCCCTTCTCTAGACCTAGAGTTGTCCTGCTTTAGTCAGAACGCTGCTCCCGCGCTGTCGGAACTGCCTCGAACACAGCAGCCCGCTGCTGCTTTCCCTGACCTCCCAAGGGAAAAAGCGAAACGCTGCTGAGTACCGCCTCGTGACTGCGTGCTCGAGCCTCCTCCAGCAACAGCAGAACGACACCGGGAATCAGCGTCACTGCCACCCCGAGGGCGTCCAGCAGCCGTGACGCAGGGGGCTTGTTAGGTGCTGGTTGTGTGGGGCTTCCGCGGGGTGGGTTTGGGGTGTGCTTTCTTTAGCAGCAGCAGTCACTGGAGTTAATCAGTATTTGTTTACAGATCCAGGAAAATTGCACCGCGTTGTCAGTTTGGGAGAAACAGATTGGTTTTTTCCGAAGACCTTTATGTTCCTAGACGGCTTACGTCCCATACTGGGAATTGCATTCAAAGGCAGCTTGAATGCGGGTCAAGCTTTGCCTGCTTGTAGCAGGTGGATGCTACTGATAAAAACATTTGACACACACCATGCAGAGATTTATTAAAGTTGCTTCTACAAGCGTCTGAAGGGAAGTTAGCTTTCCTTTGAGTTAGTTCACTGAGAACAGCAAACTATTTATTGCATTTCTGTGAAACGCTCTTTTGACAGATTTCTTCAGAAGTAAAGCGACACAAAAGGAGACGTGCTGTTGTTTGAAAACAACTGGAACCGCTGGCAAGAAGCAGCAACGCTGTGCATCAAACGAGGAAACCATCCCCAGGTTATCAAAACATGCTGTTGAACTGAATTTTGCAGCTGCGTTTTTCAAACGTACCATGGGATGCATCAAATCCAAGCATGCCTTTCCAGGTTCAAACGCTATCCAGGATGAAAGGATCACGGAAAGCAACGCAGGGTGCGCTGGGGAGAAGTCATCACTGATAGCAGCCAAGGCGGATGAGAGAGGTCCGTCAAGCACCATCGTGCTAGACTACGCACACCGGCTCTCCCGCGAGATCCTTGATCAGGCGGTGAAACAGTGGGCGGTGACTGAAAGCAAGTACAGCGACATCCCTTACATCGAGAGCGACGTGCCCTGAGCCCTGACCGGCCAGGACTGCCTTCGCAGTGAGTGTCCCGTCTGCCGAGCGGGTCGTACTCGGTGCTTGCGCAAATAAAGTAAAATCAGCCGTGATCTGAGCGCGATGCCGCTATATGAATGTGTCTGCGAGGAGAGGGTGGGTGAGAAAAATGGCCTTTTAATCTGTATTGCTACGAAACTAATTGGATTGCAGTAGAATCTATTAATCCAGTGTTGTTTGTTATCAGCCCTATGTAGAGTATACTCTTGTCTTTGTACGTGTTGAATGTGATCAGAAATGACTGTTAAAAAAGAAGGTAAGAGTGTGGCTGCCCTGAACTGTGCAAGCACTAACAGAGAGGCCCCAGAGATGCTTAAGAACAAAGCCTGGCTTGTTTGTATGTACTGCGTAAAAAAATCAGTGGGCTGTTTGTAGGTGAAAAGAGAAGAGCTCTACGCTTGGTAAATTCGCCCGCGTTTTGCCAAAGTGAAACCAAGGTCTACGTGCAGCAAAGATAACTGCTGTCGTAAATTCTACTTTGATGCTTTGACCTGCCTGAATCTGTAAGCCACAAAATAATGAAGGCGATGAGAAGCATGTCATAAAACCAAGCAGTGTTCAGGGAACTGTATGGATTATGATTCTGTCCAACTTCCACTCTTAAGCGAACCAGTGAGAAACATTACAATATGGATAAACAGTGCGTTATAGTTAACAGATGCTCTGGCTTCTGGAAACGCACGAAGGCTGTTTTCTAAAATCCTGCAGCAAGACAGTTTAATTACATCTGATCACTGTGTTCAGACCAAAGCGGTTTGGTATTTTAGCTTGGGTTTGGTTTTTTTTTTTTTCCTTTTTTCGTGTTAGGGTGCTGTTTTGGGGGGATTTTGTTTTGGTTTTTTTTACTGTAACCCGGATAGGCGTGCAAAAACTACTGACACTAACCAGTGAAAGGAGCCTTCAAAGACACAACAGCGTCCCAGGACTATTTGTTTCGTGGGAACTACGGCTGCATGACGCTAACACTTCACTCTGAAGTTACACACCCTCGGGACAGTAAGCCTTCCTGCCGCTTCTGTAAGCTCATCGCTCACCCCTCGGTGAGACTGCGCATGGCGACGCAGACGCGAGCTACAGAAGCCCCCAGGCACTGAGTTAGTGAGCAAGCCTTCGGCCCCGAGCTAAAGGGCGACGGTCTTTACCCACTTCACCTAGCTTGCATCTCCAGGACTTGCAGCCTGACCTGCTGTACTCGTAACTAGCATCTGAGATACCAAGAAAGGGATGAATTAATCACGGTCGTCCTAAAGCTACAGTTTTGCCGGCGTTTTATGCAAAGCGAAGGCCTTGTAGAAGCTTGGGGTTTTAGCACCTGTTTGTTCCTTTTTCTGTTATTTCTGCCAGTTTAAGAGACGTAGGTTTTTTTCCTAAATCGGAGTGCTTTCCATTTTATGTTTTCTTTTTATAGAAAAATGCTTTCCATACTGGCAAAAACTGTTATATCTTTAAAAGGTACATGTAGTTCTAGTAAATGATACTAAGCATGGTGTTTGCAAGCAGTGGTGAGCAAGCTGAAAGAGGGCCACGGCAGTTGCTATTTTTAGCTTATCCTCAGACCTAAGACAGTTTATGAATTGAGCTGTTTTGCAAACTTTGTGACACAAACTCAGTTATTTGAAAGTCACCTATATGGGGAAGTGGTTGTATCAAGAGTAAATGGGGAAAGATGCTTCTTTGTAACATGCTGACCAGCCCAGGCCCAGGTGCTCAGACTGTCCTCAGGCTTTTGCTGAAAAAGGGAACAAAATCTGCTTATGTTGTAATGTCGTCTTCTTTGAAGCCATATGTGAAGTGGGACTAAGGTATTATGGTCCATTTAAATTCTGCTGCTACCAGTGGTGTCCCTTGAAGCTCTACAGCATGGAAAACACTAGATCATGCCCTACATTTGCTCTATCTAAAAAAAATCCATGCCACATACTAGGGTGAATTAAAAAGCAAAACCAAAACACTGATCAGATCAGTTCGTATTAATTGGATATTGCTTAACCACAGTATTAAAAAAAGATTCCTATTCTTGTTGAAGCTAAAATAAAGCTTTATTACAAGAAAAGGCCAATCCTCCTGTAACATGAGTCCTGACTCAGGAATGTTAACACTGCCAAGGACAGGAATTAAAAAAAAAAAGAAAATAAAGCCCAAACTCCATAGGTGTTATTTGCCAGAGGGGTGAATACCAGGTAGTAAATGGCACTCACTTGGAGATTGCGCTTAGATGTATCTGCCACGACCCTTGCACAGATTCCTCGGTGGCTGCCCTGGGGAGTTAAGGGTTGCGGCGCTTGCTGTTGCGATGCCTTGGATCCCTTCTTTGGATGTAGCCTTAGCATCTGACGCTCTCCTGGAGTCAGAACATCAGATGCGCTTTTGAAAGCAGCTTCTCCATTGGCAGGCTGCCACCGCATGGCCCAACAGCAGGCAGAATTATAAAATAATATAAAATAGCCGAAAGTTTACATCGTAGCATCCGTACCGATAACTACTCCACATTTCCCCAAAGGAGAAAGTTCCCTGGGTATAATTAAATAGGCATCACAGCGGGCTTCCATTCGGAGTCCCCGCTGTGTGGGACGGCTGCGGTGCCTGCTCAGAGGGCCACCCCTAACGCGAGAGCGCCTGAACCGCCTGCTGCTTACCTGCAGCCATGAAGCACCTGCTGCTTACCTGCAGCCATGAAGCACCTGCTGCTTACCTGCAGCCATGAAGCACCTGCTGCTTACCTGCAGCCATGAAGCCTGTCTTCCCTCGCTCGCGCTGCAAGGCGACAGCAGCTTCACACGGTCTGAAGGGCAGGTCCAGCTGGTTCCTGGTGCTTTCTATGACGCTGGCACTTCAGGGAAAGCACGCAGCACGTGGAAAGCAAACAGGCTCGCAAACGACGGGGAGACAGCTTCTCACTAGGAAAATCATCTCTTTTACAGATGCTGTCCTTAATAAATAGTACACCTACCCTTAAGAAAAAAAAAATCTGTTCAATACTACAGCCTGGTGAGAGATTGAAGGAGATCTCTTTCCAGAGTTCTACTGTGTGTTTAAAGGCACAATACTAATACATAATAACAAGACTTTACCTAAATCAAATTACATCTGTTTACTTATCATTAGATTACTGTAAGCTCTGCTGTAGTCTTATAGTGGCTTTCCAGCTAAGTTGCCACTGATTCTTTGCCTTGATTTTGTGTAATAATGGCACGCCACTATGGGACTGGCATACTCTGCAAAACCATTTACTTCTATTTTGGAGTTAAAAATACATTTGCTTTGTGTTTTCTCCGGGAAACATAAGTATAGTCTGAGTGGGTACGCTGTGACTGACTTGACATACTAATAATGGTTCAAAACACGTTAACTGCAGCACAACTTTGTAAAACTGACATTTCTGGAGTAAGACACATCAGTGTTCCCAAATGAAGCACACTACAATATATTTTTACAATATTTTTTTGTGGAAAATATTTTCTTGTGGACCAAATAAAATTAAACTTACCATCTGCTTGTATGACTTGTGTTTGACAAAAGTGCACAAACTGCACAGGATCGTGTTGCCGTGAGTTTGGGATGATTGCTGTTCATGTAAATTTTGGAAGCAACTGAACAGGCAAGTCAAAGTTTACTGATTCAGAAGTACACTAAGTCCTTTTCGGTCAGAGAAGGCATGATCCCTGCTCCCTGGGGATTACTGTGTTTTTCACTAAGTGTAGTCACTGAAGATTGCTCCTTTTGTACAGAAATAATGGAATGAATCATTTTTTAAAAAATAAAAATAGCCATTGTTTAAGAATCTAAAACATAGAAAAATTCTAAAAAAGAAGGGGGGAGGTTTACATTTCTGACAGAACCAGTGTGAGGTGGAAATTCAAGTCATGTTTTCAGAATTACCCTAAAGGTATTAATGAAATCTCTCAACTATTTTTTGAAAACAAGCTCAAGGACTGTCTCATAACAAATATGTACATGGTAACATGAACACGCAGCTGAAATTTTCACAATTGTATCTTGAACATTCTTGTGACAAAGCAAGGTGCCAGTTTTTCTTGCTTTTGCTCTCCATTTTGCTCACCTCTAATTCTTTGAAAGTCACCCTAGTAGTTCACCTTGACACCTGAATTCCCTGGACTTTGTTTCCAGGCAACAGCTTCGAGGCAGGAAGGAGCCGTAAGCCGGTGTAGACCATTACTGTCCGGAATAAAAACTGCCCAGTGTTGAAAACCCCACAATGGTTCTGCTGTAGCTCTGACTTTTCGATTCCCCAGTGCTCGTTACTGATTATCCTATCTGAACAAAAGTTTTCTTCCTTTGAGTCTCAGTGGTTCATCTTCAGAGAGGCCAAAATTTGTACTTGTGACCTGCCTATAACTGTACAAACAAGTAGGAAGAGATACTGACTTATGATTTGATCAACCATAAAAAAGCACGCAGTCTTAACGTTGAAGAAAGGTTAGTAGCTATGTGTTGCACACGCAAGAGAAAAATTAATTTTACCCCCCAGAGAGATTACACTTTCATCAAGGGGCTCTGGTTACGTCACATGACTTTGAGTATTATTAGTATCAGAACCCAGCAACCTTTAATGCACAGACAATGAAGGTTTTTCGATGTATATTTAAATTTTGATCCCAAGAAATACATTTGTTAGGAGATGTTGCATTAAAAAACTATACGATCCATATAGCAGCGGATATTTCCTGTTTTCCCCTATTGGTTATCGTCTTCAATACATATTGGGGTGTTATCCTTCATTTTCACAAATTTTGCACGCAGCAGACAGGATGTTCGTGGGCACAAGCGAACGGGAAGCCGGGTTCGTTGGTGTGACCGATAAAACGCCAGCCACCTGCAGCGTGAGGGCCAGGCTGCCTCCGCCACCGACATCACCAGACGGGCACTCACTCGCGTCAGCGGGAAACGCGCTGCTTGGTGTGCAGAGCGAGGGCTGGGACGGTTCTTGCTTCGCCACTGTAAGGCCGGGAAAAACTAGCAATTTTCGAAATAACAAAAAACTAATTATGCAGTTCAGTCAAACTTAATGGCATTTAAAAAAAAAAAGGGTTTTACAAGCAAACAGAAGTGTGCTCCGGGCTCTGGCAGTATGATGACATTCGAAACAATGTCTACATCACCCCCAGCAAGACCAAATGTTAAATCAATAGAACAATTTCTTGCTCTCACACTAATCATGTGTCAGTCTGACCTTTTATTTAAAAGCCTACTTAACATCATGGATTTAGCATGTCTTGCATTTTCCTTTGCAGCTCTGACTGTTTAAAGCTGTAAGTGTATTTTATTTTCATTACATAGAGAAGAAGCTGAGGCACAATCCCAATTTAACAGACCAGTGACAGAGCCAAGTGCACAGAGGTCTCCTGACTTCTTACTGCTAGGTCATCCCTTAACTATGCTGTCTCCCCCAAAGGCTCCTCCTAAGCTAAGAGTTGATACAAAAAATTAAATGTTAATTATTGTATAAAGCGGTAAAAATAACAATTTACCGTAATTTTCCCCCTTATTAACCAGAGATACAATTATTTTGTCATTATGGCAGTATAACAAAAGAGAACATTCCTGAATGCAAAAAATTAGACTTGCAAATCTCAGGCTAGCTAAAAGAGTCTGGCCAAACTTTATCACACTACTATTAATTTTTATATCACAGATTTCAGCAGATGTATAGGATGTGATTAGGCTTGATCTTTACAACTTGAGATCATTGTCTCCCAATGGCTTGAAACAATCATCCACAAATTCATCGCTGACATCTTCTAGAGCAGCTGGCTTCCATTTGGGGGCTTGGTCTCTGTCAATCAGCACTGTCAGGTGAAGTATAAAAACACAAAAGTTACTTGTAAACTTTCTCTAATTAAGATGACTTCAGATTGCGTCAAGACAGACAACGACAGTGAATACCTGGGGGAGGAAAATCAATATGATCTGGAGAAGACAGTTTTTGTAATATAGATATATTTCTACTCTAATAAAAATTCTTGAGCTGTGACCTGTCTAGAGACGCATCTGGAGCCGCCTGATGATACCAGGAACAGTGGAACACATCAGAAGCGGCCCAAGCTTTGAAGACCTGAAATGAGTGCTTTCTGTCAGACCTACTACTCTTGCCATCTTCTGGTTTTTCCATATGAAACTGGGACCAGTATGCATAAGGCTCCTTTTGGACAAGGGCTTTCACATCTCTCTGCAAAATCTGACTCTTTGTAGAGTACAGGAGATGCCTCAAAGTAGGCGTTAAATGCCTACTAAAGCCAATTTAAACACATCATATTAACTAATAATGAAATAACCAATGAGGAAAGAGTAAAGCAGACTATCTCTGTGGGAAAATCAAGAATATTTATTTGTAAATACTAACAGATACTGCAGGCCTACGTAGCTTTAACTGTGAAGATTTGTATAATCTTAATATGTATACTTTACACTGTATCCTGGGAAATACGTCACTGAAGATAAAATCATCAGTGAATGAATTGCGTGTAAAAGTGTAACAGGAAAATACCAATCCTCAAAAAGCATTCCCTGGCAAACAACAGAAACAGAGTTTATTTGTGTGTAAAAATGACCAGGGTGAATGGAATTCCAGAGCGTCCCTCCTCGTACCTTTCTGGCCCCAAGAAAACCTGTAAAGGTGCTCCTCAAAATGTGAACTTTTTAGAATTTAAAAAAAGAACACCTATAGTAACTGTGGCTCTCTAGGATGCACTGACCACCCAGCATCCCTCCTCAGCACACATTGCCTTCAGATGTGTGATACCAGCGCGTGATCTGGAGGTGCACCTGTGTCCTGGAGACCTCCTGACCAACACGCCCACAGCATATGAGGGAGGACGGGCAGGAAGCACCTCCCTGGTTCCTATGCTGAAAGCAGAATTTGTTTGGTTTTCTCTGATAAAGACCTCAGAGTAGGATGGTTTTAAAGGCACGGGAACAGAAGATGCTCACAGATACTAGACATTGTGAATAACAGCTGTTTTTTGGTAAGTTGTCTTGTTTTTCTGAATGGGCTTTGTTCTTGGTGACTAAACTAGAACCATCCAGGATGAGAAATGTGCAAAGGGGTTGGTTTTTAAGTTCAGTGGAAAGAATGCCCACCTAAAGATTGTGTCTTACCAAAAGATGGGTGTTATGTCAGTTTGTGTTCTAAAATGTGACTTGAAAGCTTCTTAACTTTCCTTCTATAAACAACCCTTGGAAAATACCTAGAAAATAAATACCACTACTCAAATGCCGACTGTGCTAATTAATGTTTCTGTGGCTGAAGATGTACAGACATCACAACTCTCTGGCTTGTATCTCCAAAGAGAAAGGCCCTGCATCTGTTTACCTGCAAACAGAGGACAAAGGTCTTCTTGGATACAAATAAACACTAATTTTGAAAAGAAACCCATTGTATAGCTAGAAGCTGCAATTCCACAGAGACTGGAATCCACAGGGGCAATTCTTTAACAGAAATGTGCTGTAAAAGAGTGACTTTAGTGGATCGTTCAGCTGGGTAACTTACTGAAAAGTTATGGTCCTACAAGTAAATTTTAAACATTGGGATGTGAAGCCATTGATTGGTTTGGGTCAAAACACATAATTGTCCTAAATCAACTATATTTATTCCATCAGAGTAATACTTATCTAATGATTTTCTTCAACTTGAGTTGAAAGTTCACAGTCTGGCCAAAAGAATCTTAACTGTTATCCACACAAGACAACACTGACAAGAGATGCTTTAAATTACAGAGCAGGGGGTGGCGAAGTCCACGTGTATATTACTACAGCTTCAACTCTGAAATACAGTAGTAACTGTTGATAATTCCCCACTCTATGGCACTGCTGTGTAATGAAGTTAATTGTTCTGTTTGGATCTGTGGTGAGTTTTACTGCAGTGGATAAACTGAATGCTCACGATGGTCTCTCCAATGAAATTTTTCATCTTATAATCTATATGCTAATATTTATATATATACTATAATCTTATACTAATATTTGTTTTTAAATAGTTTTGTGAAAATATTCCCTTTCTGCATGAACTCCTGTGTATTTTGTGTTTCTCCAGCCTGAGATATCAATCGCTACAAGAACAGAACAAAAATTCTCAAGACTTCTAAGGTAGGCTAAAGAAAGTTCCTTAAGATAAAAGAACACAGACATTGTGTTAAGGGTTTGTTCTTGTGTTTTAGCTTTAAAAAAAAAAAAAAAATATATATATATATCCCTAACCCTCTGTTCAGTAGCAGTGATTTTACTGGAGTTCAGTTACTGTTCTATTGTTTAGCTTCATTCAGCGCAGTCAAAACCCCGACGTTTGCAAGCACCTGCAATTCTGTTAGTTGCAGTGAAATCTCTCTACCTGCACACTGACTGCAGGGGTTTGTGTGCCCAGGGCAAGGCTGACGTCTGCCAGCTGCTAGCACTGCAGGAGAGAGAGGGCAGCAGCCATAGAGAAGGAAGATCTTTGCAGGATCAGCAATACGTAGGAGGCCTTTGCGATACCATTTGAAGTGTACATTCCTGCAGAAATAGTTAGGAGGAGAATTTAACAGATTTTTGTCCTCTCTGGCTGCTGAGATTGTGCTCTACCTCGATACGTTTGAGCACTGACTCAAAAGTGACCACTTATGCTTAAGAATTAAAAAAACAAAATTACTGGAAGTTACCCAGAGCTATGCATTTCTTAGTTTATGCGTTATTCTATAAATCAAGGTGAAAAATGGATAACTAAAGTGTTCAGAGACCACATTTACCATTATATGGGAAAATGTTGTTGAAATATGATGAAATACGATCTGTGTATTTTTTTTATGTTTTAAGGGTTTTGGCTTTTCTTTAGTAGCTCCACTCACAAGACTCATAAATGGGGAAGACTGTTTGCCAGCAGATTTTCAGTCTGGTTGCAAGAAAACTGGCTAAAAGAAAAATGAAATTTTGACCTTGTGTCAAAGCAGGTTTAAAAAGCTTTCAAACAAACTACTTCCCTAGTATTCCTATTACAATTATGGTTTGGAGCAGATAAAAGCTGTTATTAAAACCTGATGTACGGCCATTACTGCTGAGAAACAATCTTCAAAAACTAAAATCTGATTATTATATCTTAACTTTACTTTGTGGTAGATCCTCTTGTGGTAGACAGGGTCAACGGCTGACTCTTAAATGCTTGGAATGTAATCTTTTAATAAAGAAAAAGCTAATACTTAAATTAGCATTTTTTATCATTTTCAGTTTTATTCACTATGGTTGATCCTGTGAAGTACTTAATCATCTTCCTATTAAAAAGGATGCTCAGCACATTGTTTGATAATGATTTTTATGAGATTAGACCCAACTAGAAAAATGATCTTGAGTCAGATTCTGCACCACTCTTAAACAAGAGAAACAATTTTAAGGAAAAAAAGAGATAAAAAAATGAGGAGGCGGTGATAATAAATACTCAAGTATGTAACTGTGAATTAAAAGCCAGGTTCCCTCAACTCCTAAGTGTTATTCATCCAAACATCTTGTACTGTAAGCTCCTTGGAAAAGGAAATGTCTGTGCTTTGTTTCACCTTGTGCTGAATAGTACATAAATAATTACTACAGTTTCTAACAGATGTGACATTGGGTTTGACAAACTGCAGAGTGAATCGGCAGTAGAATCAAGGACAGAATCTAAGTCTGTCCCCTAGATGAACTTGCTGAGCTGATGCTCTGCTTTTACCACTATCTATCATGACTAATGCCTTAAAATGCTGAATTACTTAATGTTAAGATTACATATACGGTTTTTTAATAGTAAGACACCTCCTACTATTATATATATACAGTCTATATATACTGTATGTTATATATATTATATATAATATACAGAGATATTTTGGACATGGGTGAAAGTAGTCTCTGTTGTAACAATTCTACGCAAATGGTTGTTCTTTACTTTGAGTCTTAAACCATCTTATAGCTGGCTGAATCAGCTATGTGGCAACACTAAATCTGGACACACAAATGATACACATAGCTACTCACTCCTGTCACCATTAAATATATTTTGAAGTTTCCCAATGAACTGGTAAAACCTTTTCATGGTGCTGTGTTGCCAGGTGGATAAATAACGTTAGTAAACTGAGATTACACCAAGGAAACAACATGGCTGTTACACTTTGGAACAAATAATAAATTTTGGCCATATAGGAGTCCAATAAGCAAAAACTGTAGCAAGCTGGGAAGTGTTCTCTGGGCTGTTGCTATATGCACTTTTCTTAACCTCCAGAGAAGCAACACAACAGTGAGTTTGCATATTATTAAGTTTGAGAAACATTTCTGGTGTGCATGCTTACCTGCTCGAACCCCTTCATAGAAGTCATGGCCTCTCTGAAAGGGGGGAAAAAAAACAAAAGCTGTAACATGACAGATTTTACTTGTCCCATCTTTCACTATCCCTCTTCTGCTTGAAATGCAAGTTCTCAAAATTTGCTTAAATCCCACTTGTACTGTTCTCATCTGGTCCTACTTTCTCTTTACTTACTAAAGATCTTTATAGCCTCTTGCTTGCATGCAGCCACAGCTCTTAAAAACCAGTCTGAACTGTGGTTGATGAGCCAACTTTAACGCAGTGCAAGCCCTCTCTCTGTGCTAGATCTCATACCTTTTTCTAAAGAGTTTTGTGTGATGGAGGCTAAGATGTGTAGGATCAGAAATTCTTTAGAGAAAGGCCAGTCTTCAGGAACTCTGATGTATTCTGCATACTTGGAACACTTAGCAGTTAAACGGAATCCTGGAAACATCCAGTTACTTGTTATAAAGGTAAACATAACATTTTAAATCCCCAAGGATGCTTCACTAGGAATGGAGCAACGAGACTAGTTTCAGGAAAGACAGGATACTGTCAGGCACTACAACATACCAGAATTAGATACATTTTCACACTTGTTAAGTGTTTACTTTAACTATAACAAATCATTTAATCAGATACATAAAAATCTCACTTTAAAATGTGACAAAACTAATAATAAGGATGCCATTGGAAGCTTTATGTGGAACTGGTTCAGATAATTCAGTTAGCAACTCTGTTCTACTTAAAGGATCACTTCCTCAAATTTATTAAAGAAAACGAGAGATTTTAGTACTATTTGTAGTAAGGGATGAGTATCTGGATAAAATATATCACAGCACTCCTGAAAGGAGTGATACAGAACAATTCCCATCCTGCTGATGGGAACTGAGGACCAAGAAATTTAAATAGGAAATCTGTTCAAGAACACCAGAATTTTAAAATTATGGTCCAGATACAAAACTTTCTGTGTATCATATTTTTCTTAACAAAAGTGCTCCACTGCTCCTGTCTGACCATCGTTATTGTAGTCTCCTTCAAGCTGCATATAAAGACAGAGCACTGGAAAAAGGAAAGTGACGGCTAACTAATACGCATATTGAAAATGAAAACCTATAAATTGTGAGCCCTTGATGTAACCCATACAAGACTTGGTCTCTGATAGGCTTGCTACCCCTCCATGACTGGAAAGAGAGAAAGCGCTCAGCTGCCTGCTTACCATGCATGCTTGGCTCAGTCTGTATTCCATCGTGAGTACTTCTTGTAAGCTCATGGAAGCTCCTTCTCTGAGCTGTCTGAGAGCTATCTTTAAGGATGTAGGTGACATCTTCTTAATAGTCTGGGGAAGACATCAACAGTTATTTTTATGCTCTTCAATTTGGACACATTTGCAAGTCTGTCTCTCTTGCATTTTAAACTTTGTCAAGTAAATGATGGCACTCTTCTCCCTGAGCTCACTTAAGTGACACCTATTCCTCCTGTTCCCTCCCACCATGCTGTCATACTAAATGAACTTCATCGCATAAACTCATATCAGCAAGATCTCTCAGATGTATGCCATCGCTGGTGGAAAGCCTAAGACTCCTAAAGTCACATCATTCATGATCAAATTACTACTAGCCAGAGAATCTAATGCAGCTTGAAAGCCATTTCCAAACAGATTCTTTTGAGAAGTGAAGATGAGTGTTACAAGCAATTATACTCCATTTTTGAATATCATGCATATAGTCTGAATTGCTCTTAGATGTTACTTGATATTGTAGCTGATATTAGTATTGTAAGCATTTAAGTCCTATTTGGTACAACAGTCAGAGTAGCAAGGTAATACTAGTGAGATCAGCCACAAACCTGAAGTAGTTGCTTTATGATCATCTGTAAAGGCTAGACAATATGCCAAGAAGAAAAAAATTCAAAGAAAACAAGCATAAATGCATATTTGTCCAGGCTTCTTGTCTGGCATCAACAGATACCGCAGTAATTTAGCCCTCCACTGCTCTGCTGACAGGAAGCCTGGAGGTCTTGCCTGTCGTCTTTTGACAGAGGTACCGGCTATGAATATTATGCACCAGACTGGATCTGCTTACGGCACACAAACAAATGCTGTAAATCTGGCTCTGATGACTATCCTCAGTTAACAGCATGCCAGGAAACAGTAGGGGAGGTGGGGAGAAAGACGAAAACCCAGTTAAGAAAACAGAACTGAACTTCAAAGCTTTCAGGGTTGTGGGGGAAAGGAGCTAAATCTTACTGTTGTTGATCTTTGTTTTCTTACTCTAAACAAGACTCTTCTTCCCCTGTAAACACAACTAAAAGCTCTGTATTATTCACAGTACAATAGATGTTTCCTGTTAATTAGGAGGTTTTTACCGCTACTGAAAAGCGGCAGATGGGAAGATTTGCCTCTTTACATTATTTTCATTGCAGACATGAGACTCCTTACTCAGACTGAAATGGCAGGTCATCAACATTAACATTTTTTTTCTGGCTCCCAATTACTCTTCATCCCTCTCCAGACACCAGCTGATACAGCTGTGACCCATTTTGCCTGGTTAAGCTGGAAAGCAGGCAATTGCTATACAGGCAGGAGGCTGTGCAACTGTACCTTAAAAGCCCTGGTTCTGTTCTTTGCATGTTGACCACTTCGCTTGAGAGAGAAGCTGGTTTAGAAAGAACTAATGCTGGCAAAGTTTCCGGAGTTCTGGTAAAGCCCTCCAACAACAAGCTGCCTTTCAGCAGCTAGAGAAACTAGCTATACCTGTAATTACACCACTATGTAGGTCTCGGATTGCGACTCTTAACTGGACCCCTTATTTCCTGTAATGTGCTCTTGCTGGCTTTACCTTTGAACTGACCTTTTCTCCTTTGAGTTTCACATTCTGTCATCTAGAGGAGAAAGTCTGCTCAGATCAGGTTAAAGGGTATGCACAGTGCAACCAGAGGGTTCCCTAGATGAAAAGGCAATAGCAAGTTCTTTCTGGCCTAAGAATGCACTGAAATGGGGAAGATCTGAAAACAGCACTTAAGGCAGCTGCTGGATGCACTGGACTGGTTATCTTGGCATATCAATGAGGCTGAAGGTGGAGGAGGCACTGCAATAAATCAAGCTGAAGGAAGAAGAACAAGGAAAGAAAATGGGTAGGTGTAATTGCAGAAAAATGAGTCACCAGTGTATCTATAAATAAATCCTCTGTACAAAGAGGAGGAGGGGGTTGGTGCTAGGGAACAAGCCTGCAAAGGAGATAGGATAGGCTGAAGTGGGGAGTACTAAAATGCAAAGAAGTCTTTATAGAAGTATTTGACATCCATTCCAGTATCTTTGAGACCATCTTGATTTCAACATAATGATCCCGAAAGCTACAAGCTGAATTTGCAATAGACCTGAATTCCAGTAAGAAAGTATCAGAAGGTGATGGAATTAAGTGGTGCGGACTCAGCGGAGTCCCTTACAAGAGTAACAGCTGGAATAGTGGCTGCATCTTTTGTCTCCAAGGCCCATTAAGGTTTCTGACCTGAGCTGCTGATGGTCTGTGAGGGAGGCTTTAAGTTAAAAACAAACAAAAAAGCCTCCCAGAGGTTCAGTGTATCACTTTCTTTGCTATAGATGAAGACACCCATCACTTTCTGAGATGCCAAAGCATTGGTTCATCTGCACCGAACAATGGTTCTGGATGAGCTTTGTCAAAATACGAGTGTCTAGCCAAAGCATCACAGGAAAGCTCCTTAAGGACAGATATATCATGCTCTTACTGGTTTGCTAACAGGGTTTCAGAACACTGTACTTGAATTCAACACCACCAAGATACCGTCCAGCTTCATTCCTGTGATCTTTCACCCACTTGCTGCACACCCATTTAAAGTTTCAGGAGATAGTGTCTGCATCCCAGCCTGAACAGTAGATCTGGACAAAGTGTCTTGTCATTCTTAGTCTCTGCAGTGTCCTGCGCACTACACTGGAATTCATTCAGGAACAATGAAGGCTATTAAATCGTGAAGCATCAGTGCTCAGAAGGTGCACTGTGCTGCCAAAAAAAGCAGTAAGAAAGCACGTGAAAACCAAGGCCTTTCAATACTTAAAGGGGGCTTGTAAGAAAGATGGGGACAAACTTTTTAGCAGGGCCTGATGTGATAGGATGAGGGGTAATGGCTTTAAACTGGAAGAGATTAGATTTAGACTGGATATAAGGAAGAAATTTTTATGATGAGGGTGGTGAAACACTGGCACAGGTTGCCCAGAGAGGTGGTTGATGCCCCATCCCTGGAAATGTTCAAGGCCAGGTTGGTCAAGGCTCTGAGCAACCTGATCCAGTTGGAGATGTCCCTGCTCACTGCAGGGGGGTTGGGCTAAACGGCCTCTAAAGGTCCCTTCCACCCCAAACCGTTCTGTGATCTCATCCTTTTCAAGTTTTGACCCCGCATGCTTACTTCATCCAATTAGAAGTGGTACTTCTATCACTCAGATTAAAGCCTTTTGGCTTGTGTAAATCCTGAAAACAAATTAACACTATAAAGTAAAAGGATTTAAAAATATTTTGCTATGAGTTCAAAAAGTGTGTTAGTATTCTAGCTTTCTACGTATTTGTAACTGCATTCAAAATGTGATTTAAATCATGAAGCCATTCTCAAGTAGAATTTTGACAACTTTACACTCTTATTCATGCAAATCACTTTAGTATCAGATATGTGAAAGCCTGTCAAGCAGGCATGTTTTGCAAGTTCAAAGCAGAAGTACTGTAGATTGAACAGAACAGGATACCTGGGATAGCATGGCTCGCAGCATGTCTGGATTACAGCAGAACTAGCAGTTCCATTTTTATTAACTCTAAAAGGTACCTGTACATCCAAGGTGTGGCTGTACCAAGGTGTACCCCCAAATTAGGGTGTCTGCATTAGACTTTCAGTTAGGGCTTATTCCATAAGCTTATTAATACATATCATAATAAGGGAAACGAGCTTACACATTGTTGTTACTGAATCCTTTACAGTCTCTATATTTATCATTTGAATGTGCTGTTGTTCCTGCACCTCGACACTAAAGTGAAACCTTGGCTTCACAAAGTGACAGGAGACTGTCATCTCTGGACGCACCCTTGGTCTTGTGATACTACTGATGAGGAAAATGACTTGCTTCACACAAGTCAGCGAACTGCTATCAAGAATCACGTCTGATAATCTGTCATGGTTTTGCTACGTGTTCCCTGCTCTTCCCAGTTCTTTGAACTCCGCGCCTCCGAGGGGTGTCACAGCAGGCCAGTGCTCTCTGTAGTGCTGTAAAATGCTCAACTGCCAGGGTGCAAGCTACCATTCTTCCTCCAGCTACAATTAAGTTTAATTACAGCTCTGCTTCCCTAGTAAAACAAACCCTCCAGTTTAACTAGCAAGCATTTCCTGGAGAAAGCCAGATTTATACCTGAATCCCTATTTAATTTTGTCTCCCACAAATGCATTTTCCTTCTTCGGTTTTGTGGATCTTTCACAGAAGAAATTAAGGATCTGATCCTAGAAGCTTACTTAATCCTACTGCTGAGCACAGAATGTGTGCTGTTAAGAAACTTGTCTGAAACTTCTATACTTGTTCACACTAATAAGCCTTGCACCTTCTAGAAAATGTGGGGTGTGGTTTGGTGGGGTGTTTTCCCAGATTTCTGTATGGACAGAAGCAACTCATATTAACACAGTCTGATCCCTTGAGACAAGTGTTCAGGAATTTCTGTCCCCTCCAAGGACAGCCATTCATTTAGGAATTCATTTAGGAATTGTGAAAGAAAAAAGCTGCTATAAAGTTCTGTTAAAGACATGATATAAGAAAACCAAAGAAGCAACAAAAGAGCGATTTTTTTTGTTCAGGAATTAAAAAAAAAAAATCAATTACACAAAATCATAACTTTGAAGTAGATCACATAGTTTTAAGTTCTAAATTAAAGATATGGAACAAACCCCCCTAAACAACAAGGAACAAGAACACTTTTTTTAACAGAGGAGATCTGAGTTATGAGGCTGCAGATGAAGGAAGCAAATCAAGAAGGTTTGAGTAACTAGAGCAAACGTGGCATAACAAACTATCTAGTTCACATATTTCAGCAACAAAGTGGTCCCTTGCATCTTTTGTAGTAGAAACTGTATTTTGAACAAAGCCCCCTTTAAAGGCCATATGCTATTTTTAAAAGTTCTACTAGGTCTGATTCTGTTTTAAAGTGCCATAAAATTATATGAAATTAATTTAGGAAGAGCTATATGCAAATAATTCTTGTTTGTTTTCAACTTTCACTGAATCTAAGAAATACAATATCCCTGCAGAATTATATTAAGCGTTATAAAATCTACGAATAAAATTCTGCCTTGTAATTCAGTACTATAAAGAAATAAAAGCCACCAAAACTGACTGCGATTAACGTGCTATCAAACTGTCTCAACAGACCTTAATGTAAGTACTTTCTCTGCCATCTCTAAGATAGGGAAAAAGTGAAGAACTGAATCATACAGCCTGTATAGTTTGGGGGAAAGCCGTGATGGTAGTCTCATTTAACTACTTTGTTCAATGAAACTTGAATAGAAGTGGGGAAAAAAACTAGCTTTCCCTTTCATTCAGTTTTGCTTTTGTAATATATATGCTAAACTTCTTGTAATGTACTAGGCATACTGCTTGGCACAAAGATAATTTTAAAACCTCCTTTCTCAAAAACCACTGGAGAGTTCCACTGAGAAAATCTTAAATCTTTAATTAAAACAAAAAATGTATCCGTGTATCTGGGACAGGATGCCTAATGTTAATGGTACTACATTATAAAATGATAGTTCTTCTGCTCAGATGAAAGATGTTTTATTACAAGAGCAGGATTTCTTCTGTGAGCTGTAACTAAGGTTGAAACACAGCTTTTGTTGGAGGAATGCTTGTGTTCTATCCAGTTGTAAGTAATATTTGAATAGCTCCAAGATAAACTATTACAAAACAACTGAATACAGACACTTCAAAGGAAGAAAATACACCTATTACTTATAAATGAAAATAAGTTGCTTCTTGCTTTTAACGCCAAATTTTGTATTAAGTGTGTAGTATTACTGTATGTTTTTTGAGTAGTGACTACATCTAACAGTCAGAAATGCATTAAAAAGATCAAAAAATACTTTGTGATGATAAATTGCTTGCTGTTTACACAAATGAGGTATCTGGAATGGAAGAAATCAAACAACATTGTTCTGGCACTTTTTTATTCCAACCCTTGGCAATAAAATGAGAAGCTATAAAAGGAACCTTTGTCACCAACAACCCCCTGATCATGGGGAGTGGAAAAGGGAGAGTTTGTTTGGTTTTCGTTTTTTTACTAGATTACAATTTTATGCAACATATGACAGTATTCGCATTGTGTGGTTCTACAGAGGCATATTCTTGTCCGCTTAGAACTACTGACAATCCCACAGGACTACATATGAAAACCTGAGGATCTCAGTCCAATGTCCTACTGGTGTTTGTAGTATAAATTATGTTAATGAGATGACTAAAGTTTGCCCTATGATAAGAAAGTACAGAACCAGACTTAAAATCTCTAACAAAAATAACATAGAAGATATTACCTCTAGTTGCTTAATGGCAAAAGGAGAACCATCTTGCTTTAATTTTTCAACAATTTCTTCCATACTATTTGCTGAAAAAATACTAAAAGAAAAAAAAATAATAAATGAATGAACTGCTTCAGCCTTCCTCTTCCCTGTGAAGTGCTAGTAACACAAATTAGAAACAGAGTGTAACCAGCTGATTTGGCTTTTTTTAGCAATGTGTTCCCTGTGGTTCAGTTTTAAGTAACTCAGTTGACAGGCATCTCCTCTTCTTTTACAAATCTCTAATTTCAATAAACCTCACTTACAAACTCTGATATTTATCCAGAGACTTTAATTACTACCATCGGTCTGATCTGTATTTTTATAACACATCAAATCTTTAGCTATCAGCTCCATTCTACTGGTTCCCTGTCAACATCTTTTGTCTCTAAACTCCATTACTGCCATCCTTCTTCAAGAGTTTTAGCTGCTTCTTATCACTCTCCTTCCTTTTTTGATACACAGAAGTTCATAGAAGTGGCCTTAAGCAATGAGTATAAATGTGCTACGTAACGCTTCCTGTCCAGCTGAACAATTACTCTCACATTCCCATCCAATTCCTACAGAAAATGTTCATTTTAATGTGTCATAGGGTAGTTGCTTGATATAATGGTGTATGAATTGGGCAAACATGCTCAAGTATTTAATATATTGATGAGTGAAATATTAAATGAGCTGCAGATAAAGCTCCCTAAAGACAAAAAAGTTTAAATGACTAACCGGAATGTCATTTCTATCACCTTATCTGTGGAACACTAATACTGTTACTGGATTTAACTTAATGTTCTCTATCCAAAAGAAAGATTGCTGAATACCTGTTAATCTTCTCCATATGTTCATCAAGTACAAACTCCTTTTCGAGATCAACTTTGCTCTATTTAAAAAGAAAATACAAATTTTACTTGGTTCTTTTAGACTGAAAAGCTTATTAGTACTGAAAAATTCCAATGACTTGTGTTACTGAAATATCATCACATCATAAATGAAAATTTAATATTCATAAGACACTGACTTTTTTTAATTAATTACAATTTTTCAGTGTGTATAAATGAACTTGTCACAATCTTGTGAATGTTGAAGATGTCACCTCGTAATGCAGTGCTTGCTCTGAGCTACTAGGTATGCATATTTGGCTGGGTGGTTATCTTGCACACAAGTAATCATGATTATTCTATCAGTACGTTTCTATCAAATGCACTAAGGAAGCCAGTGTAGATAAATCTATGCTACAACCTGCAAATGTTTAAAAAAGTCTTATTTTCTTAAAAAAGAGGCATGTATGTATGTATTTAAAAAACCAAACAAAAAAAGCATTTCTCTTCCTTACATTTTCCCTGTTATTTTACAAAATTTTATTTAGACAGCTAAAGAATGTGAAAGATCTGTTGGCCTTACGTGGAAAGGCTGTCCAATGTTTCAGATCTTCTGGCATTAAGGGGTTTAGGATATAAGCGGATGTTTCGGTAACAGCAGCTGAAGCTGAGAAAGGTTCCCTGTCATTGCAGCTCTGATAACTAAAAATACGCAGCTTCCTTCTCCACTCAATACCATCTTGTAAAGCAGTATACTGCAACATATAATCACTTCTATTTCATGGCTTTCTATTTTGTCAAAATAATCAGTGCTACTATGTAAATTAGCTTATCCCATTTATTTTTCCAATTAATCTTTATAGAAGAATTTAGTAATTCCAAAACAGAAATAACAAAAGCAGACACAGCTCATTTTAAAGCCAAACAACTGGGGAGTAATACTCAGACTGACTGAATACATTGAATCCTCCTGATTTGACTCGGAACTTTCCTTTCTTTTGAAATAAAATTACAGTGCACATCAAAGCAGCTAAAATAGCCATTGAATAATCTGACTGTAAAGCCAAAACCTTTTATTCTCATGCTCATTGTTACATGGGGCTAATACAAGTACTAATTACGTATTATCAATACAGTTACATTCACCTCAAAAATCCCAACAGAGATCTGTGGGTTTGTCCACTGG